GTTTTGTCCAAAACCACAGCGCACTGCGCTATTGGACAATACCACAGCGCACTGTGGTGTAGTCCGATACCGCAGCGCATTGTGGTATTGGACAATACCACAGCGCACTGTGGTTTTGGACAAAACCACAGCGCACTGGGGTGTAATCCGATACCTCAGCGCACTGTGGTCTTGGACAATACTATAGTGCACTGTTGTATTGTCCAATACAACAGCGCACTGCGGTATTGTCCAATACCGCAGTGCGTTGTGGTATTGGACAATACCACAAAGCACTGTGGTCTTAGACATTACCACAGCGCGCTGTGGTAGTGCACTTTAACAGAATCATGTATGTCGCTTTCTGTCGCAGCTGCTGTCGGCTTGGTGCTGTTTCAATTGCTGCTGATTTTTCTGTTGTTATTATGACTGTGTTCTCGTTTCACTCATCTGTTCTTTGATGCATTTGTTTTCGCTTGTGTGTCCAAAGATTCTTCCAAGAACTTGCACATTACTTAAGGCCCCGTTTGACTCGCAATCTTCTTCCATTTAAGCTGCAGCCAAAGCCTGCAGGGATTGCAACCCCCGGCCCGTCGAGACACAGGAGTTCGAGTGAGAGACTGAGGGCTGCGACTGATGTTGTTTCCCCGCAGACATGTGTGGAGTCATCAGGACCTCTGGAGAGAGGATCGGGCACGAAAGCGAGGGGTGGAAAAAAGAAGATGTACACTACTAAGCCTGCTGCGTTTGACAAAGGGAGAGGGAAAGCTACCGTGTTTGAGAAAGGGAAAGGGAAAGGTACTGCGTCTGGGAAAGAGAAAGAGAAAGTTGCACAAGAGGAGCTGCAAGTACCTCGAGGTCTCATGCCAGGCGAACTTACCGACGAGATGGCACGGGCCTGGGACGAACTTCAAAGTTTGCAGCTGAAGAAAATCTCCCAAGAGCCATTTTATCTGCCCATGACATGTCTCAAGAGACCACCGGTGGATGGGACCGGAAACAGGTCTTTGGAGGTTCGGGAGCCCGATGAAGACCATGTCTCGACGCTCATGGACTCCATGATCGCTTGCCCGACTGGAGATCATCTTCCCTTCGTTGGTGTCGTGGATCCAGACGAAGTGAAAGACAAGTCGGAAGTGGATCTCGACCGGTTGAGAAGGGGCGGCTACAACATTTACGTGCTTGGAGGTGGACATTGTCGGGAGGCGAGAGAACGACCGAGACAGATCTACCCGGATATGGACGACTACAACAGGAATGTTTGCTATGTCTATGCAGGCCTTTCGACGGATGAGGCAAGGCAGATGGCACACAAGCACAATCTGGCAGCTCGCTACTACAGAGACATGAACTTCATCGAAAAGATGAAATGCTGGCGGAATGTCTTCGAACGAAAGGGCTCTGTGAAGATTGCAGATGTCAAGATAGCTTGCCTGCGCGAATATGGGATACCAGTCAATCCAAAGAAGATGTAGACCAATGACCCGCTGTTGCAGATTGCCATGCGCCCGAAAGAGATCTGGGACCTACAGTTGAAGATTTTTGAGATGTGGAAGAGGGGAGAGGTGAAGGACCAGAAATTGAAGCCTGTGGCAAAGAGCCAGATTCGTACAGAGGCGTCACGCTTCGACATACGGCAACCCACGTGTCCTAGTCAAAAGGGTTGGCCGAGAATGCCAACCATATGATTAAAACCGCCCTTCGCAGGTTCTTAGCGGCACACGACACGCGTCCTTGGCCCGAGATCGTATATCAGATCGTCAGGATCCACCGGGCCACCCCTCATGAGTCTACAGGGTTCACCCCCTTTCAGCTTCGAACTAATAGCCTTCCCTGTGTCGATTACCGACGTAACTCGGAAATTGCCGAAGCAGGGGGTAGAGACACGCGTGCAGCTCTCAAGGCAAAGGCTAAAAGATACATCGAATTAATGGAACGGGCCGTCCCAAGCTAGCCCGAAAAAGACAAAGGATGACCGAACTGGCCCACGGGAGACAGGTCCGTAGCTACGAGGCCCGGAATGGAAATGCTCGGCCCTAGTACCAATATAAATTAGGGGACCTAGTGCAGGTACGTAAATGTGCACGCGACTGGAAACTCGCTCTCAAGTTCTCTGGCTGTTTTCTCGTTGTCGAACTCGGACCCAACGGTGCCAACACGGTGCGCATTGCGCCTGAGGCTAGTGCTAGCCATAACTCTGTCCCCATCGTCCGACATACCTCCTACCTCCGTCTCCTTCTTCCTTCCGATCTCCCTTCCTCTTCCTTCTCGGAAAGCGAGGAGAACGACGACCTAACTTTCTCCCGTTTTTCTCCCTCCTGTCCTTCGCCCTCCTCTTCGACCTCGCCATAAGTCTTATCACGGAGTGGGTTCTTGACATTCAGCTGTTGCAGCCATGTGGCCACATCTCAAAGATTCGGCAAGTTTGTCACCCTCGGCTCAATGCGGATCTTTGGCGTTTGATGCGATTCTTCTGCGACGAAGGTATCTGTGTCGCCACCGTGTTTCGAATCGAAGGAAGTCCTCGCGCAATAGTATTCACGGAGGTTACCACAGTTCATCGACGAGCGGGTCCCAGAACGAGCCACGTCACCACGGTGGCGGCATTCACCGGCGACATCAGCTCGGCCAATCCACTGTGGCATACCGCGATCTTAACCTCGCTGCGCGAGTGGACAGAGCAAGTGTCCAACGTGTGGCAGCACGTCTTCGCCCGATAGGGGTATAACATCATCCCGATCTTTGCATCGGACCTTGATAGTATTCGCCGATCACCGCACGAGCGGCCAGTTGTGATCCCGACCATCGTCCCCTTCCCCCATCCCCAATGAACCACATTGCTCTTCTCGCTCCTCTCTCTATCTTTGGTCTCCCCTCTCTCTTTCCCACTCTGGCAATCCAATCTTCACCCTTCCCTTTCCTTCTCGTTCGAGCCTCTTTCAGTCCCTCTTATCAATCCTGGACATTGGCGATTGTGGCACGAAACTTTTGAGGAGTTGTCCTTTTGCTTGGCCAGAGTACAGGTGACGTGGACGGGCACTAGTGAGCATCCCACGTGGATCGAGAATCCGGAGCTGCTGATCATACAGGCTTGGAGGACTAAAGTGGAAGGAGATCTTCGTGGCTTTCTCTTCGGATCGGTATGGCCAGGTTGACGCCACCTGATTGCGCAGCAGCTTATCGCATCGATCGTGCAATTGGCAGATGATCTCTCGCCTGACATCTATTTTCAGAGTGACGACATTCCTGCTCCGTACATTTTCGAGCGATCATTGGATCCGTGCCTTCAGTGGACCGCGTGCTTGGAGGAACCTAGGGACGAGGATACCCTACCATCGCGGCAGGAGTATTTGAAGCCGTACGAGATCATCCCTCACGCCTTCTTTTCGAGCGCAAAGGAAGTGGTGATCGACGATGACGACGACGAGGAAACATCGGAAGAGGGAAGCTACAGTGAACACAGCGAGGGCGAGCTCAGCGAAGGAGAAGAGGTGGAAGAAGAAACCGGATCCGAGTGGGAAGCCTTGCCGGAGGAAGCGACGCGTATGGGAACGGAGGCGGAAGATCCGGAAGCGGCGTGAAAGCGCGAAGAAATTGCCACCGGGACGCGCCAGCTGGAGTTCGCCAGCGAAGTTTGCCTGCGCGTCGGTAGCGATCCGACCAGGGATCCAGAGCCGCCGAAGCCCGAAGATGGCGACCCTGCAGCCGCCACCTCAAGTACCACGCGACGAAGACGGAGCCAATCCCCCTCCTCCTCCAGCCCCACCCGTCCCCCAGTTCGCCCACGTACCGATGCGGGCGATAGGCCTTCGTCCTCGGACGCTGTCCCACCGACCCCTTGACTTTCTCACCCTTGAGAAGATCCGTACCCCCGTCACCTTCCCTTCCCGTCCTCGCTTCCACGATTTTTATTCTACCCGTCTACTCGTCACCGTCCACGCCCACACCTCCCTTCAATCCGCTGCCCCCACGTTCTGCTGGCATCTCCTGCTGTTCAGCGCTGCATGGGAGCGATGCAACGTGGTAGAAGTTTACTGCGTTGCCACGGGGACAATCCCCGCTTGCCGCCACTTCGAGATCTTTCGAGCGGCGCTCTTCCGCTTCCTCTCTTCCTTCTATCGTGACTACCTCGCGTCCCTTCCCCGCAGCGGCGATTATTTCCCCCGCTTTCACCGAATCACCCGATATGAGGAGCTCCCGGTGACGATGGAAGGGATGAATCGCTTCTTGCCCCCACTTCCTCCCCGTCATCCCCGCAAGAGTCCCTCCATGTACTGCCTCTACTGGCCTATTCCAACTAGGTGGTAGATCCCACTCACTTGACCTGCCATCCCCTTCCTCTCCTCCCTTCATCGGCACGGATCAGTAAGCTTCACGAAGATCACTACATCCACGATGACGTCAACCTACGCGCTGATTCGACGGACGGCAACGAACAGGGGTGCAGAGCACACGGAGATCAGGAGGACCATGATGGCGTCACCTGGACGATCTCCACGAGGCAGAGGGTTGCATATGATAGGGCTGCGGAGATCTTGCCACGGATGTTGTCGCCATCTCATCTGCGACCCAATTATCGTTTCTTGTCCTTCTTTTGCTCTGATGATATGCTTGGTTCCTCATGCATCACTTTGTTCTCCCCTCTTTCTTTCATCATGCCATGCAATCAGGAGATCGCATAATTTTGGAACCCCCTGCGCATCACATATGTGACGAACCACTTCCCGAACCCGTGCCATCTTCCGTACCCTTTCTTTTGCTTGTATCATACCAACCCCAGGAAAGCCCCGTTTTGATTTCTTGCTTTCGGGTGCTACATTTTCCTTTTTTTTTTAGAGTTTTTTCGACTTCTGGGTTCTGTTTTTCTTTTTGCAAAGTCGGGAAATACATGGGAATTTACGAGCGCTTTAGCGCGTGCACTGGGAATTGGGCTCAGCGGTTGGGAATTCCGGGATAAGCGGAACTTCGACGTGTCCTTTTCGAGTGTGTGAATGTTCTTGGTCGCGTCGGAGAAAACTTTCGGAATTTCGTCCGGATACGAATAGGCGTAGGATTTTCTTTTCCCACATCACTCTTTAGCGCGCAGATATGGTGATTTCAATTTTGAATTAGGATAGAAGCAARCTGWAACTGTTTCGGTGCTTTTTTCTCTTTTTTTGTTGACGGCGCCGTGCATGCAGAGCTTCCTCCCCTCTGGCCCCCTGTAGCGCTCCCTCCCTCGCTCCCTTTCCTTCTCCCTCCTCTTTCTCTCTCCCCRTAAATATTTCTTTCCCTCCTCMCCCTCCCTCGTCTTGCTGTTTGCGCGCCCACTTCCCTTTCTTGATCGTCTGAATCTTGGACCCGTCTTGCGCCACCTCTCGCGCCTTTTCTCTTCTCACCCTCTGAGTCTGGCGTACGACGCCCACTCGATCACCTGATAACTCCTGCTCGCAAATCAGCTGCGTGGATTCATAAGACCTTCCTATCGCGCAACGAATCTGATTGGTTGAACCTTGAGTTCCGAGGGATCAACATGGTGTTCTCGAAGCGCTCTTCTCAAAGTCTTCTCCTCCTTCTCCTCCTTCTCCGCCTACACCCCCGCCTTCCCGTCGTTCTCTCCCCCTTCTATTTCCTTTCTCGCAACCAAAAAAACCGCAAGCGCGCCCGCAAATCTCTCTTCCGTTCTCGACTCCTAAGCCAGCTTCAGGGAAGCAGTGGCTAGGCAGAGTGTGTTGATGCGAGTCAGAAAGTCCTGTCTGGCAGGCGATAGGCTGGCCGGTTGCGCGTTGGATCGCCACGACGGACTGTGGGATCTGGGCGAACCGCGTCGAGTTTACGACAGCGGGGTGACGATCGCAATGGTGGGAGTTAGCACGCGGCGGCCGGGATCGTCAGTGCGGGTTTGAGGATCGATGATTGGAGTTGAGTGAGTAATTGGCTCGGGGCCATATTGGAATTAACGGCAAATGCGCCTTTGTTGTTGCGGATCTTTACCTTTGGCATGAATGCATGGCGGTCATGTCGAATGTCTCTCTTCCAGATCTGGTCATCACCTATTTTGACTCTCTTCCCCCCCCCCCCTCTCATTTCTCTACTTTTGAATAATGATGTGTCTCGATTGAATGTCTCTCGCTTTCTCTCCTGAGTAGGAGCGAATCAGTGCACCTCCCTTGCTTAAAAGAATTTATTCCGGAACTCTTCCATTAGTTTCCTGGGTAATCCTCCTACGTAACGTTCCCGCTTTCTTGTCTTGTGAACGGTGGATGTGTGTGTACTGTGCAATACGACCCATCTTTTCCGATACATGTCTCATTTTCGCACCTTCCACAGTGAACGCATGTATGGAAATGTGCGACTCCTTTTCGTGTTGATTAGACGATCGTCGTCGGAATTTTGTTCGAGAATGCAAGAGTGTTTAGATCTGTAGCTCTGAAAGAGCTGCGCATGCCATCTGCCTTATGCTGCACGACATCAGCAACCAAACCACACGCCGTCTTGACTCGCTAAACCCGAGCCACGAATAGATCTTTAGGCTATATGCATGCTTCAAGTTGAGGAGACACTTTCTTTTCACTCTCTCTCTCGTATCGAAAGTGATTGATTGTAAGTTGCGCAATCATTTTTCTTCCCTTGATGACCTCTCAAGGTCTTTGCAATTGATTGATATGTGGACTGACCAGTACCCTCTGATCAGGCGCCAGCCTCCCGTATCCCCCATTCCGACACGGCCTTTTCCCTATAACGAGGAAAGGACACGTGTATGTGAGTGGGACGTACGAGAAGCCGTCGCACGAATTGGCGGACACTACTTCTTCCCTCCCGAAAATCGTTGTTCTGGATTCGTAGATGTGGGCTTTGTCATTATCGATACCCACTTCCAACCCTACTCGATACTGCTCCTATTTAACGAATTGATCGTCATTCCGTGGACGGCAGTAGCGCCTCATTGGCCTCGAACCTTGTGCACTGAGTGCCAGTGTTTCGATTGCTACGAATTGAAAGGCTTTCGCTACCGGATACAGAGTGAAGACGATCACAAGGAAAGAGCCACACGGCTGAGACCATCCACGTCAGACTTGGAACTAACCAGCGAACGATGACGAGACTTGATACGGAAACGGGACACGCGAAGCATTCCAAAGCCTTTCCGTTCTAAACGACGGGCCGTAGCCTGGTGGGAAGCGCGACAATATTTTTTGGATTGAATTTGGATTCTTCCCTCCTTCTGCCTTGTCCGCGCGCGTTCCGCGACGCGCGAAAAACGATTGACTTGCTTCATCGGACCCACACGGGGGATTTCAGTTCCGTCTCTGTCCCCACACTCAATTTTCAAAAATCCTTGGCACACCCCATCTTGCTGTTTTTCTGGGCCTCTTTCCGCATGGCTAACACTCCGAACGGAAGACAACACAGGGCGTGAGGTTGCGCGTCACACCCACACCAAAACCTCTTCGGTTTTGGCCGCCCAAAGTTCGGTCGTTTGGTACTACCGGCCCAAACAACGTTCCCCTTGGTGAAAGGCGCCTTCGCGCTGTGGCCAGATCTCCTTGGGCCTATTTTCACCGGTTCAAGAATTTGGCGCTGTTTTTGCGCCAGATTCATGAACCGGTAGGGCCCTTCTTTTTCAAAATCGCGTACGCGGGCCTTATTCGATACTTCAGAGTTACCACGCCCGGCCACTTTTACATGAAAATGAATCTGGCGCAGTTTATGCGCCAGATTCATGATCCGGTAGGGCCCTTGGAGCGACGCGTGGGCCTGTAGGACCCCACATGCAAGTCATTGGGCCTGTAGTACCAAACGGCTAAACTTTGGGCGGTCAAAGCCGAAAAGGTTTTGGCGTGTGTGTCTTCAACCGATTATCCCAGCGTGTTACGCATGCCACGTGTCATCCCTGGCATGCCAACGCAGCAAGTCTATAGAGTCTACCACGTCAGCGTCAAGGACTTAAAAGGTCTTCGAGGGGGGGATGCCCCATCAACAATGCATGTCTACAACATACACAACACTGGCATGCCACGTCAGACCATGCCTTGACAGACTGTCACATTTGCATTCCACGTAGGCAGTGCGCCACATCAGCGGTTCTGATCTCACATTTCTCTTCCTCTAGATCAGCACCACATCAGCCTAATGCCAGCGAAACTCTTGCCGGTATCTCGAAGTCTTCAGTGTAGCCACACCATCATCTTCAATGGAGGTTGCCCGCATGTGCGGTACTCAACGTCTAGACCTGCGGTATTGACCACGCACGTTCATAAACGTGTTTCGTCCTGCACATGTGGCATCTCCCACTTACCTTGGTGCCATGTCGGCACGTGGAAACAGATTGCTATTAAGGAGTATGCTCCGATACCAAAATGTAATGAACCTAGACTGGAAGATACTCAACAAACGTAGAAGCACAAGTAGACTCAGATCTGCACAATGTCTCCAGCTAATGTGAAGTCATATCTGAAACAATATCTCGTTACCAAAGACAAACAGAGTGGAGGGAGAATAGACAGAAGAGAAGGAGGAAGAGATAATCAATGAGCATTGAGCATTCAAGAGTAGCCTAATAAAACCCCCCTTCTTCTCTGGGCTTTCTCTCACCTCCACATCATCAACCAATATACGATACAAGTCTGATAAGTTTTGATCACA